TATATATATATATATATATATATATAGCCCATAATGTAAACTACTGGGTTACCAGTAATTGTGTCAGCTATTAAAGTGTTTTATTTATTTATTTAATTGTTTCAATTTTTTGGTATGAATTTCTAACTTTTTATTTCATTTGATTTATTATTATTTTTTGTAATATAACAGCGTGTGTTTGATATCACTTTGTATCATCAGACAGAGTTTGGAACAGCAATATTTGAAGATGTAGCTGATGTGTGCTACAATATGTTAGATCATCTGGAGCAGTACAAGCAATATCTGGAGTCAATGAAGTTAATTCACATTCCTTTGCATGTGAGAGCAACAGTTAGTACTTCATCAAATATCCCAACTACCACTGCTGATCAGCTTCCAGGATCACAATCTGCAACGGCTACTCAGGGTGAGTAAGAAACTTTCAGTACATGGTATGGTAATGGTAAAGTTAAGTAAAAATTGGTGAGAATTTTAATGTAGGTAATATATACAATTATATGTACATGTATATTAGAAGAAGTAACAAGGCTATTCTAGCCTATTTTTATATATAATTCTATTTCTCAGTCTGTGTTTTTCTTCAAGTTCAAACTGGAATTCGTATCAATTTGCTCTCTTATTTGATGTTTTTCAGTATTAGATGTGGCACAAGCTAGTGTTCCAGTGTCAAGTGATATTGACAAACGTTACTATGATCACCTTATCAGTAGTGTCCCACCCGAGAGCCATAATGTTCCACTCATCCTGCACTGTTTGTTAGAACAGGTTAGTGCCTGCAATCTGCAAGTGGTAAAAACCTTGAAGTCTAGAAAGAGGGTAACTCTCCTACCAGGGACAGACATTCTTGCTTTTGCAAAATAACGTCATTTTTATGTAGCTCACTTAGAAAACAAGGCAATTCGTTATTTTATTGTTTGAGATAATCACAAAAGGGGAACGGCTGAGGTTACTCCCTTCGAAGGAGTTCCTCCCAAATATCAATCAGCCAATAATAAGTTATCTTTTCCAAGTTGTTTGAAGACTATTACGAGGCTGAATTAGACGTTAGAATCACTTATGTGCATAATTCGGTTGGTTGGGAAACAGAACATTTTATTGGGATGTTCTATACATGCACATAAATGATAATGTTCTTAAAACCTTTAAAAATGTTGGATCTGACCTAAAAATTATGTAAGAGTATAAAAACTAAATTTTCGGCAACGTTCTGGAAAGCGCATACAAACCTGAGACAGGACCAGATCCTACTTTTGCTCTCCTTCGTGTTTAAAAACAGCTTTTCACGTTTGAAGGAACCTAATATCATCAAGTTTTCGGTTGTACCATGGACTCACCCGTCAGTGCTGTCATCGCAGAGCTATCAATGGAGCAAGTGGAGCAAGAAGCCTTAGCCTGGTCTCCAGTGAAGCCGAGATGGTGGCGACGGTACGTCGACGACTCCAACGCCTGCCTAAAGAAGGATGACGTCGATCCCTTCCATAACCACCTCAAGTCTATAAATCACCACATTCAATTCACTTTGGAGATGCCGTCAACGTCCACCGGCAACCCAACAAATGCTTTTCTGGACACTAATACCACAGTCATCCCCGATGGCTGAGCAGAAGTGTAAAGCGTAAGGCCACGAACACGAACAAGTACCTGTCATTTGACTCGCATAGCCCAGCACAGAGCAAGATAGCAGTGGTGAAAACTCTCATGGACCCAGCCAGGTGCCTACCATCGAGTACCGCAAAGGAGCGAACCGGTGAAGAACAACGCGTTGTCAGTGATCTGACAGCCGATGGATATCCAGCAAAAGTTCATAGAGAGGGCATGCGAAGAGAAAGAGGGAGCAATAAGATCAGAAGTCCCCAGTGACACAACAAGCTTTCGCCTCAATCTCGTATATTAAAGAAAGAATTCTGCGTATCGTGGGCCAAGAGAATGTTAGGACCACTTTTCGTCCGATCAAAACACTTAGTGATGTGTTCAAGAAACCTAAAGAGCGCCCAAGCGAGAACCAAGTGACTGGAATTGTTTACAAAGTCGAGTGTGGATCGTGTTCGTTTGTACACATTGGCGAACGGCAAAAGATCTTGGAATTCTCGTGGAGCAGAGCACAAACCTGGCACAAGAGGAAACAATGAATCAGCGATTAAACAGCACGTGGAAACGGCTGGACATGATATTCATCCCAACTACGTAGAAATACTTGAGCGTGGCGTTAGCAATCGACAAAAACGCTTATTCTTAGAATCTTGGCTTTCCACGCTGAATACCGATGTTGTAAATGGGAGTCAGCCTCTCCCTAAGCCCTATTTGCCTTAGCCCTTAGGGATCAAAACATGTCTTAAGACTCTTTTTTAATAATTCATCTAGTCATTTTACTCTGACGAAGGCAAACAGAACGTTTCATACTTTTACATAATTTTAAGGTCAGATTCAATATTTTTAAAGGTTTTAATCATGAACACTGACCGCCCAAACAGTATTGATAATGTTCTTATTGTATTTTTATCTCTACTAAGGTTGTTGCAACAGCTGATGACAAACATCCACTGGATCAGGTAGTTCCCCCGAGAGGAGATGGTCTAAATCATGATCTGGCCGCATATATTACCAGCAAAACCTCCAAATTAACTTTACTACAAAATAGCAAACAGGTAAACGTTTACTTTGCTCATAACAATTAACTTTGTTTGCCTAGCCCTTCGCCCTTTTTTTGAAGATTAGCCGGCACCTTGTGAACTGTTTTTTTTTTAGGTGGGTTATGCCACTGTGAACACAAACGGCATTAGTTTTGACGATTGTAAAGTCCGATTTGTCAACTTCAATTATGGCATGGCAATTTGATTTATGCGTGGCAAACTGGGCGTGTTAGTTTTAAGGCTTACCATCTTGATTGTTTTAGGTTGTTACTGAACCTACCAAGATCAACCAGCGCCCAAAGCCTCAGCGATCACCACTGATACTTCATTACCATGACACGATGTCGTCACGCCTGCATCATCTCGAGCCAGCCAATGGTCTTAATCCCGAGCAGGCAGAACTGCGCATGCTTGATCTATTCCCGCAAAGTCGACTTAAAGAACTACCAGAACTTGACGAGCGGGACATGGTGGAGCGTGAGGCACGTGCAAATGAACTGCACCACTTTTGCAAATCCCTGATGAGTTCCTCCGACCTCCTGGAGCATGCGTTTAAGCAGTTGGCTTTTGAAGGGATGCCTCTGAAGGTTGCAAGCCAAGATGGGGAAATTGTGGATCTCAGAGATGTGAATGAATCGTTTAAGTTTTATTCAAATCCATGGGATCATCCATATAGCAAATTGAGCGAGTTTCAAGCGTCCAGATTCCCTAGTGACAACTTAGAGAAATTGGAACTTGCTAGTGATATGAACTCTTCTCCACTTACTTCGTATCGTAACCTCGATGGGTGGTGCTTTGTAGAACATTTTGATCGCAAAACCACGATTCAGGCAAGTATTAAAATAAAGTTAAAAGTTTATGTTAAATTCTTAAGATGTAAATTTTGTTGGCTTTACTTTGACGTATTTTATTGACTTGAGAGTTGACAAATACACACAAGGCGAAGGCTTGCAGAACTGCTTATACACTGTGCGGCCACACGAACAGGTAATACGTGTAACAAAACTGAAATGACTACATCTACTAGTCCGGCAGACATAAAACGAACGTTTGTGTCCAAATATCCGAAAGCGTTCTTGGAAAACAAACTTCTTTGCTGGCCCACACTGAAGGCAGCTGCTTCCACACGTGATCTCCAAGTACTTACTTCGTTACTCAACTGTTTTCTTGTAAAACAGGTCCTAGAAGCAGCACGCCTCGCTAATCCGTATATGGACACTTACTACCACAAGCGTGACCACTCCCTGTTGCTTGCATTACATAACCCTGTCGGGGCCAATGGTGTCAGCAAGTCATCTTGGAGTACAAAGCTTCACTCAAATGTGGGCTTTAGAAACTACCTTGAACATGTGGTCAGTTCAATTGGAGACTGGGTTCGAGAACAGGTATTTGCATCGTCGACGAGGAGCTTCGATTAGTGTTATATCTATGTAGTACTGTGTAGTAATGTGCTGGAACGACGTGTAACAGTAGATACAATGTACATCCAGTTGAAATCTCAGACCATACTTTGACAACAACTAGAGGTTGTTGATCTTGTTTCGGGTTACATAAGAGCAAATATTAAATAAGAGCAATTAGTATACACACACCCAGTGATCTTGGTGTTTCAAGCAATCTGATTGGATTGCTGTCTCTGGCTAATGAGCATTATTAAAAAATAGATTATTGGATAACGTAATTCCAGAGTGTTCATTGGCTAAGCCATCATGGGTTATGAGCCATTCTCTACAAATATAGTTAGTGTACGCGTGATTTTTATGGGCTTTTTTATTTTTTACTTTAGTCTAGTTTTCTATATTTTGGGGGTGTTTTTAATAAAACAATTATTCCACTTGCACTTGTTGGATATGAGGTGATTATAGCCATCTCATATCCAACGCGCCCGTGGAATAATTTTTGATTATTCACTCCCTACCGAGTGAATAATGCGTGATCCAAGCGTGATCCAATGCATGTTTCAAAGAATAATTGTTAAATATTACTTTTGTGGCTAAGAATAGCTTGCAGTAGCCGCAAGTATAGAGCAGAACCCAGTAAATTTGTTTCATTTCTAACATCAACACAACAGGAAAGACTTCGAGAACAAGCAGCCAGAACACCCACCCCTCCCCCACCTGCTCCCGAGCAGCCCAGTGTTCCACTCAAGATTGGCAGCCGTTATGGTCTAATGACCAGACAGGAAGTGGCGCTTATTAAGGCGGAAGAAGAAGAAAAGAGTAAAAAGAAAGGAAAAAAGAGTGCGCGCGGTAGCCGGAGTCCTAAGAGAAGTGCAAAGACCAGGGAAAAGAGCGCTTCACCGGATAAAAAAGAAGACAAAGGTATTGGTGTTGTTTTATTGATATATCGACCCTCCTAACCTCATTATAATCGGTACGTTGGGTTTGACTGTTTCATGTGTCTTGTCCATATTTCTAGACTAATAAAATAACGCTGACATAATACAGGTTTCACCGGTTTGAGAAGATAGCACTTTAATTTAGGTATTCATTTGATCACGAGGGAAAATAGAGAAGCTCTGAAGAGTCTAATGCAAGCGTCATTTTATTGTACCAGTGCACGCATTGAAAACAAAAACATCGTCAGTTTATGTGTAGTCACCAGTAGTAGTAGTAGTAGTAGTGGTGTACTTTATCTTGATAGCAAGAGAGATTTAAAATTGTACAACCGCTTACAACTTGGTGTTTTTTAAAAAGCAATCGCTTCTAATTTCATCACATGGATGTCAAAACATTACCAGCTCTTATCTCATCTTATCAAGGAAAAAAATTAAAATTGATTTTCTTCAGAAGCGTGCTCGTAGACCGTTGTTACAAATGATCTCTGTAAAACTGTTCGTTCATATTTCTACGTAATTTTTAGATAAGAAACGCGACGGATCAGCCTCCAGTCGGCAGAAATCGGCGACTGGTCGGAGTCCTTCAGCAAAAGGCTCCCGCTCCATTAAAAGTGCCACAAGCAAGGCTGACAAAAGAGGACTTCACAGCCGGTCGCGCTCCGGACAGTTTGAGGAACCTGAGATACTCCCTGTAGAAGAACCCGTCGAGGAATTTTACGATTTCATCGGATATGACATGGGTGATAATTTGATTCACGTTTCTGGGTCCTTGACAACAATGTTCCCGGCCGACGGGGGACAGATACAGGTTAACAAGTCACAGTATGTGCAGGGAGCAAGAACCATCTCCACGTCTGTGCTCAAAGATGGCAACATGTTTGTGCTTCATTTCTTGGAACCTATTGATGAGATTTTGTCGAAAGAGGAATTGGAGGAATCGAACGGGAAGGCTGGTGTTGAAACTTTGTTAGACAAGATTAAACAAGAAGAAAACGTTGAAGAGGAAGGGAATAAAAGTGTAATTGAGGAATCCGAGAAAGAACAGAGACGTCATCCAAAACCGTTCTGTGATTTCAGCTCTTTTGTGGCTGAACTTAGTGATGGTATGGTGTTAGCTCTGAGTGGATATGGTCCCTCGGGGTCCCTTAAAGAGAAAGAACCAAAGGAATCAGAAGATACGGTTACAGGGTATTTGACAGCAGATGTTGGCCCTCCCCCTCAGCCAACGCCTAGCCCACAGCCTAAAGCAGGATCTCCTAAAGCGCGTAAGAGAGCAGAGGAAGAGGCCAAGAGAATAGAGGAGATTCAGCAGCAACAGGAGGAAGAACGCCTGAGACTTGAAGAGGAAGGTAATAGCAGGCTTGTAGAGGAAGGGAGGTCATGGGTTCGATTCCTGACGGGGACTGAGATTTTTCCGTTGTCCCACGATCAGTTCACTTTTCACATTTCAATACCGAGCTTAAAATTCTCCATCTTTATTCATTATTATTATTATTATCATTATTATTGTTATTATTATTATTATTATTATTATTGATCAATAATGATTTCTTAAAACATAAGCAAGCGAATATTAAAGTTAATAGCCGACGTTCCGGTGTCATCGTGACATCATTCTCAAGGCAAAGTCAATAAATCAATGCGAAGATTTGATTTGTAAAGTATAGAAACCAAATATTCGCATTAATTTATTCAATTTTCCTTGAGAATGATGTCACGATAACGCCGAAACGTCGGCTATTAACTTTATTATTATCACTATCATTATCATTATCGTTATCGTTATCTTTAACTGTTCGCGTCACTTTAATTTCGCGATTTTTTTTTAAATCGCTAAATTAACGAGTCGCGAAGATTTCATGTAATAAGGTAGTCCTATTACATATGCTAATTTTCTATTTTCCGGCTCCATATTTTGGTGACGAGCTAAATTAGAAATCTCTCAATAATAAGAGAAATGTCGGCAATAGTGTTGAGCAATTTCATCGTCACTTAGAGTATTTATACCGTTATTCATAGATTATTCCTATTGCAGCACGACGGAAAGCTGAGGAAGAAATGTTAAAGAAACCGTTCCAACACGTGTATATCACGTGCCCTGATGGCCAGCACGTGCAGTACTTAAATGATGACTGTTATCAGAGCAGAGAAAATAAGGGAGGAGTGATCGTGAGGCAGAGCTATCCCATCAAGCCACTAGGGCCTGCCAGAGGAAAACCAGCATCACAAGAAACCTCTCGTACTGTGATGACAGACGGAACAGTGATTAAAGTGAGTTAAAGCTTACCCAGGCTTCTGATTGCGCTCCTTTCCACGTTTTCCACGTTTCCTTTTCCTAAAATTTGAAGTCTTTTGTAATTGCAAAGCCTTCTGCTGCTAAATGTTTTTCGAAAGTGTAAGAAAGAAGATCAACTAGAATCAACATAAAATCTCTCTTCCTTTGAGTTTCAGCCATACCAATCCGTACCAACGTATCTGGATAATAATTGGCGAAATCTGTGGAAAACGCGTGATCTCGCCATTTTCAGAAAACTTTATCAGAAGAAAGCAAACAAAAGAAAGAAACAAAACAAAAACAACATTGTCTACGGTCAGAGCCGAAAAAGAAATGATGGCTTTCTTCTCTGATAAATCGGCGTTTTATAATAATCCCTCATGAATAGTATCATGAAATAAGCCTAATAAATATCTCGTTCGGCCTGCCCTCGGTATGTACATGGATTAAACCTCCGTTCTTGGTACTCACCTCTTATTTTGTGTGGCTAAGGCAGTAGGCCCTTTGCAGCTGGGGTCACGTGACCAAATTTTTCCCTGAAAATTTTTATATTATGGGCTATAACTTTAAAAATGCCAGAAATGGAAAGAGCGCATCGAAAATACCAAAATGGCCAAGTTTGAGGCCCCTGGAATTAAAGAGTAAATTTATACGACAGTCCGAATTTTCGGAAAATTTAGAGGATTTGTATGTAAAATGTTGCTGGAGAGCAAGGTGTTGCTCTCCAGCAACTTTTTTCATACAAATCTTCTTATTCTTTTAAAAATTCGGACCGTCATAAAATCTCCTTCTTTAACGATTGGGGCCTCAAACTTGGCCATTTTGATATTTTCGACATGCTTTTTCCATTTCTGGCATTCGTTAAGTTATAGCCCATAATTTTGTGAAAAATAGGTCATGTGATGGCTTAGCTGCAGAGGGCCTATTATAACTAAAGCTATTTATTCATCTGTAGCTACTCACTGATGGAAGCGTCGAAGTCCTTTTTCCCGATGGTGCAGTAAGTAAGTGTCAATCTTATCCCATGAAAAGCACCCCTCCCACAAGTAAGCCAGGCAGTGCCATAGCCAGGCAAGACCCATCTATGACTGCCGTTAGAAAGAGCCTTCGTGGGCCAGGAATGAATTCAAAGCCCTCAGAGGAGCCTTCGGTGCCAGCGATTTCTCTACCTGAGAAAGTCCCTGAATGGTCAAGCACAGGTGCCGATGGGTACAGAGTTGTGAGTCTGCCTGAAGGAGGTCACGAGACTGTTGCTAGTGTACTCTGTTCTTTAGCCACTTGCCCTCAGAGTGGAAAGGTCAGTACTACTTTTTATTAATAAACTCTGAAATATGGATACTGAGGTATCCTTATAATAATAAAACAAAGGCAGTATTTGACATGTTGTACGTATCTATTCCTTCTTGGCTCTGAAATCATGCTAGTTATTTTGCGAGAAAGTGACGTCCTGGGCATAACAGAAATGAAAGTGGCCTGTTGCCCTTTCTGACGCATTTAGGCGTACATGAATTCAAGTCTGTTATGTTAAGCTACAGACATCACTTCAAATGCAAAAAAAAAAAAAAAAAACTTGAACCAATCAGTTTTGATAACCAATCAGACTCCTCCCTGACTAGGGAAAAAGTTTGTAATTTTAAATTAGATGCTTAGAATAAACGGGATTAAACTGAAGTTGTACGTCTACTTTTATTAGGTTCTCAAAACGCGGGAAGACAACGTTGTCACGGTTGATTGCCCCGACGGAACACGAATTGTGGAACACGCGGACGGAACACGCATTACAACGTTCCACAAACAAGTTGTGTGCGAACTTCAGGCACCCGACAACGAGACAGGGGAACAAGCTGAATACCTTGAGATGACCAAAACCTATGTCAAAGTAGAGTGTACTGGGTTCGCTACGGTGATTTTCGATAGTGACTTGGGTTCGTGTGAGACTGTGTTTGGTAATGGCACGAGACTCGACACACAGGCTAATGGTGTGTCTGTTATGCACAGGCCAGATGGAACACAATTACAAATAGAAGCGAAAGGTAGGAGAAAGTGAATTCATGACTTAGTACGCTTCAGTGCAAATGAACTAGCATGAATTAGCGAGTACTCATGGCCATAGGTAACCAAAGAAGTCACACTGAGGCACTGCATCACTTAAAAAGAGCTAGTTCACAGACTTTCAAAATTAACTTCACACTGTTATTTGCCAAGTATTATTTATATACACAAAAACTACTTAAGGAGGAAATAAACTTGAAAGAATTCATTAGAAAGCTCACTTCTAAACTTCAAATCGAAAAGTTATCTTAAGTTTCTAAGAATGCTGCTCTATGGCCTCCTCCCACCCTTGCCCCTCTTTCAATCAACACAGGAGTGCTATGATATGCGATAAACAAACTACAGCATCCTTCTTTCTTTTTCGTTGCTTTGTTCTGTTTTGTGTTGCCCATATTAACAATATTAAGAAGTAAGTGAAATAATACAATACAGCCAGAGAAATCATACATTTCAAAATGCGGTTTAAGATGATTATAAGTACCGTTGTCGGCTAAAGGGCAAGAAATTAGATAAGTAGCATATTTGATAAGTGTAAACACCGTTTATTTGTATTGTTTACTAGGGCAACTGTATTGTAATTAGTGTAAGTGTAGGATACTGTAATTCAATCATTGTAAGTAGTGTTAGTTTTTTTTTCTTTTTTATTAGTGTATCTTGGTATGTTGTTACCATCCCAATGAAATTTAAAAAAAAAAACCTCAAGGGAAAACAAACAGAAAAAGAACTTTTAAGGCTTCAGAAATGTCCACAGATGGAAAACAAAAGTGTCATTATAAATTCAGGTTTAGTTGTGGTTCTATGGACATGCTCAAAAATCATTCTGTTGTTATGTGCAGTAGAGATTTCATCTCTTCCTTCAGCCTTAATTTTGTTTCCTTCGCACTCTTTGTGTTCCTATCTTTCTCTGACAGGTAGTGTGTCATACTATGGCCGTGACACTCAAACCATGAAAGAAAGCCATTGCTCCAAAACACCTGAGGGTGTTTATGTCATGCGCACTGCAAGCCAGTTTTGCTGTGAAATGACAGATGAGAGAGGAACCCACTTTACAGTGATGTCAAACGGTCACATGACAGTTGACAAGGGGGAAAGTGGATCTATAAATAAGGAGATTATTAGCAAAACAGAGGGTACTTTTGATGAAAAAGAGGAGCCGTCAGAACCGGGGCCCATACAGCAAGCATCTCTGAGCCCCATAGTGCCTCGCTTCTTCATCATTCGTGCTGATGGAACAGGCTCTGAGCTCTTACACAGTGTGGACGTGAAGGACTTCCTGCAACAGGCCGAGGAGGACCCCGCCACGGCGGTGTTAAAGAGCTCCTTGGAAGGACAAGACGATGTGACAGGGCTTACAGTCTTGAGGCCTTACTCTGGTAAGGATAATTAGAAGCGATTGTAGAACTAACATGGTTATTTTGGTTGATGATATTTGTAAAGATAGTTTAGAACAAAAGTCCAAAGGCCAGACAGTCATTTCCGATCAATTTCTGAACATATCCTAACCCTAACCCTTGGACAAGATCCCAATTCCATTTATTTCAAACCTAAGCCCCTGATTAAATTTGGCGAACCTGTTGTATTTTTCGAAGCTTCTTGATTGCCTGTATTCCTCTGAAAGGGGGTGAATCATGGAGTGTAGAAAGAAAGCGCAGGGCATCACAGCTTCCCTCAGTCTTCTCTCTTTCTCTTGTTTCCCGCAATCTTAAAGCCTGAGTATTTATATCGCATCACGTCATGTGCAAAAAGTGTACTTACCTTAATAATGATAGTAATTGTAATTAACCATTTATATCAAAGCTAAATCCAGACAGTTCAACCAATCAGATTGTACCGTCTTTATCTTTACCAACAGGTGGGACAGGTAAGATTTGGTGCAAAGAGAAGGACGAGGAGCTCATCATTCCACAGGGGCTTAGAGAGAGGGACTTCAAAGTGATGCCTTCCAAAGAACTAAAGAAACCAGGACTTGTTTTTGGCACTAATGCTGGTAAAGAACTTCTCTGTGTGATCTTTTGGTTTGATGCGTAAAGGTTTGAATGTTCACGTTATCACCGTAACCCTGTTTTGTGTCATCCTTCTTTGATCATAAAATCATCCAAGTCGTCCATAGACGTTTCCTTTTACTGATTTGTTTTTTATAAGGTAACGGTCTTAACATTGGTTCCGCTGCGATGAAGCCTATTCCCCCACCTCACATCACATGTCCGCGGGTTCTAGAGTTCCGCCAACTAATTCAGTACAAGCCGCTGACCGCGGAACAACGACAACAGATCTCTAAGGCCATGCAGGCTTATGGGGAATACCTGGAAAAGAGGAAAACAGGATTAGACGACTTGCTGCCGCGAGATCCTCGAGATGAGAGCGAGAAGATCGTGGCCGAGGAACTGGACGCTAAAGTGAGTGTTCGTTTCTCCGTTGTTGGGGTTGTTGCTGTTGGCTCTGAATTCATTAGGTCTGTAAGTGGAAGATTGTAGAATAAGCACGGGAAACCAGAGTGAATACCAGCGCGCGTATATGAATTTTCTCTGATTGATCGACACATAACACAACTTCTAAGGAATCACAGCAGAACTGAAAGTGAAAGACATTCCTTTTCAGTGGCAATCTAAACCTGAACTAACCTCAAGAATTTGCTTCTTAATCACAGGTCAGATCAGATACCGAGAAGGGAGTCACGTCACATGAGGAACAAGGTGCAATGGCTCATTCTTCCCATTGTTTTGTTTTGTACCTATAGCTGAATGCGTTTTGTTTTACTTAAAATCAAGCGTATTTCGTTTTATGTAACAATACTTAAACTCAAGCCTGTTTCGTTTTATGTAACAGGGTCTATGTTGAGAGACATACGAAACACGGTAGACAAGTTCTCTGGTAAGTTATTTAGTATAATTGTCTTGCATTCTTCAACGGTTATGAAATAATAACGTGAAGTCATTACATTTTCTCTAATGTTTGCTGCTGATTCTCGGATCCATGCTCTCCTCTCTCGTTCCGTTATTATGCCGTTCCTTTCCTGCTTACATTATTTCTTCGGTCTTTTTTCTCCCACTTAAGAACACCCTGCTATCTTTTCCGCTATCTTCCAATATTTTGGTGTGAAGTTTCCCTGTTTCCTAATCTAGATCAAACGAAAAATGAAGACATAAGCTGTAAATACGTCGATGAAATAACGCCCGATCCAGTTCCCCCGCCTCCTCCCCCGAAATGGAAAAGATCTGTGTCAGAGTGGGAGCGGGACCGAATAGAACTGGCCGAACTGGATTATGGGAAACATGCCTTGCGATACAAAGAAGTGCCGCCTTACTTTGAGACGACTCCAGGTATAAAGTGACTAGTTTAGTATTATCGTGTCCTTGTTTGCATCATTTTAACAATGTTAAGAAGTGGTTTTAAAACTATAGAAGGAGCTGATGTTAAAATATATCAGACCACCAGGAATCTAGTTTCAATTGAATAATGAAATTGTAAAATTGTGATGCTATGAAATCATGTGAAGTAGAGTATTATTGCATTGTTAGGTCAAGAGTTTCTTAAAGGTATATATAGTCAGAAGGTCCCAGACATGGATACTTTAACGTCTGAATTAGCACAGCAAACTCGTCATCCATCCCCTGGGGAAAGTAGCCCTGCTGAGACACCAGAAATTGTTGTACATGAGGGAAGCGCTGCATCTAATCGGACAGGTAAGCTGTGGAGGCGATGTTCGAGCCGTGTGATCAATCGATTGACTTTTAACTTTCAACTGTCAGCTAGTCTGAGCTTTACAAATTATGATGGCTAACTATCTTAACCTGATGTATATAACAATTTTTTTTAGAAAAGTTAAAAGCTCTATTTATAAAAGGTTACACCCGTTCTCATTTGTGTGGTTTTCAGCAATCAACCGCAACTAAATTTTATTGTAAAATTGATTGCAACGACCTCAGGGTGAATTCAATAATTTTATTTCAAAGCAATAAGGCTTTATTTGTAAATTTTAGAAATACTTGTCAACTGGATCAGTAAGAAAATCTCTGCCGTTTGCATCGGGAAAAGGTGCACTTAAGAATAATAATTATTAATATTTTTTATTGGAGAATCGAGAAGTGGTACTAAACACACGAAAAACGATTTGTCTTTCTCTCTCTCGCCTGCTTTTGGGAACGTAATAGCGTTAGTAATCTCATGTTCAATTCATTCTGTTGCAGAGTGGGTTGCAAAACTACTCGAATTTCTTTTAATTTTCGCACCTCTCTGCGAACTTTGACAGAGACATTCATTATTATGTCCATCGCTGTGTACGACAGGAACGTCTGCCATGTTTTCTGTGAATGGTACACTCACAGCTCAGAAACAACTGTGCAAGAAAATAACTCTGTCCTCAACCAATAGCTTTTCAGAAATTTCTCAGCTTGTATCATAAGTGAGCTAAGAGCCAGTTTGTTTTACTCATTCCTTCCGTAGAGGGAGACAAAGTTCCAGCCAGCCCTGATGTTGCCCTCTCCACCACAAATGGAGAGACAACTTCCCTTCCTACTGGCGAGCCAAGCGCCACACCTAACGGCATGAGGCCTACTAACCCCACCCCGGCGCATGCCACTGGTAATGGTACCCCTACCCCCGTGCGTCCAACTAATCCTACTCCGTCTCAGGCCTCTACAGCTGTCAATCCTCGTCCCAGTAATCCTACACCAAGACAGGCTTCTGAGCTTCTTTCGCAAGAGTCACCCCTCCAGGGAGACTCCCCACAGTGGAGAACCAACTTGGAGTCTGTTCAAGAGGTAGACGTTCTCTCTTCCGTGGAGGAAGAAGTGAAGGGGCCAGCTGAGGCAGAAGACCCGGATGACGAAGAAAATGTCCCAATGTTCTCCGGTGAGAAAGTGACTTCTAATTTTGCCACAGCTCACAAAATGTTCATATATTTTTTGACAATTTTCTTAAAGCTCAGTTTAACCCAATCAATCACATTCTAAGGTAACTTACTTCAACGGGTAATCGAACTTTAGCATCGTTCAACAGCAAACCCAAACTTTCTTTACATTTTGTTTGGTCAAAGGAAAAAACTCATTACTTCTCCTGTAGATGTCAAAACGTTTTGCTTAAAAAGTTTATCGAGTAGAAACTGTACGCCTCTAAAATTCAGTGCATAAAGCTTTGTAGAAAAACAAGATACATGTAAAAACAGAGGAGGGGACGGGTAGTAGAGCTAATGTCAAGCGTGTTATACCGTCACTACTTGACAACCTCTTGACAATTTATGCTCCAGTTTCTTTCATATTTTTTATGTTTACTTTACATTCTCTTACTTTCTGCTCACAGCTGATATGCCGCAAGTTGGTCCACGAAGTTTATATTTTGATGTAACTGGAGACGCTAGAGGAGAGAAAGTAAAACTTCCCAGTTGCATCAGGAGTTCTAAACCAGGAGCACTTCCCAACAGCCAGGTGTGTACTTTCCCTCGTCCCCCCATCTCCCACTTCCTAACACCCAGGTGTGTACCTTCCTTTGTCCCCCCATCCCCCACTTCCCAACACCTAGGTGTGTACCTTCCCTCGTCCCCCCATCCCCCACTTCCTAACATCCAGGTTTTTACCACCCCTCGTTCCCCACCTGCACACTTGTCATTCTGTTTTTGATCAGTTTAGCATCAGGTATTCCGTACTAAAGTTCCAATCTATGAAACAAGCTTTACTTCAGAATGAAGGAATTTGTGAGTTGGAATTTGGTATAAACGTATGGCTTCTGTTTGAATGTTATCTCATCTTAAATGTTATTGTTTTGGGGTCTTCAACGTTAACCTGTTGTAGGTTCTCAGGTTTATTATCTTTAAGTACTCGTTTAGTCGCAACTTGAGATTAGAACAATTGATTCTGTCCAGTCTCCAAGTGTAATATATATTTCAGTTCTTTGAAGTTGAAGATCCCGTACGGCGGCGTGTACATACAGTGTCGGTGACGGGAGGCGATCAACAACAAGTGGAGAGCCTCCGAGGCTTTGAGCTGTTCCCCGCGCAGGTGTCGTTTGGAGTTCTGAAGGAAGGCTGTACCTATGTTCACAGCGTGCTTTTTAAAAATGTCGGTATTGATAGCTGTCGCTACAAAATCAATCAACCGCCGCCATCAACAGGACTGCGTGTTCTTTATCAACCTGGTCCTGTAAGTTTACTTGTCATCATCATTAAATGTTGTTGTTGTTGTTGGTGGTGGTGGTGGTGGTGGTGCTGCTGCTGCTGCTGTTGGAACGTGCAGACACCAACCGAAAAGACGTCAAAAGGGAAAAAAGTTTAGCCTTTTATGTCCTTGTTTTTTATTTATTTATCTATTTCTTCTTTTGTTCGCCTATTTTTGTTTGCTCGTTTATTAATTGAGATTTGGGACATTCCTACAGTTTGCACATTATATTGCCCTGGTGCGTGAAAGGCGGCGCCGTAAATGAATAGTGCTAAGTATAAAGACAGGCTGTTAAGGGCACAGCACGGTGTCAGCTGTAGTGCGTATCATTGAACAAATTGAACATTACTTGGCGTACATCACACTTATGTTAATGTACTCAAATCTCTCTCCTCCAGGTGGCTGCTGGTATGAACACTGTCCTCGATGTGGAAATATTTGCCGTTGCAGTGGGCGTGGTCGGCGAGAGTGGTTTAGGTCACGTGGGCCATCATGTAGAGATAGTTACTGAGACTGACATACTTTACCTGCCAGTTACTGCAAATATCCTTTAAACGTTGTAATACCTAAATGTTAGCCTACCACTGTTAGGAGAACATACAACGGGGGGGGGGAGTTTTTTCTGATCAAAAAAGGCTGCTCGCATAATTCAATTCCTCCAGGAGCCCGTCACTCCTGATTCTTCAAATATCCAATCAGATACTTGTCCAAGTCAAGTAATTTCTTGCCGCGTAGACTTTGAAACATTTTTTCCGATTTCCTTGCGCTTGGATAGTTCTGTAAATCTTTTGATGTCTGTGAACGAAAAGAAGCATAGTCTGGGTTACGTTGATTGGTTAGGTAGCTGTTCCTGCGCCTGTGCGCTTAAAATGATTGGTGTGGTGCTGTTGTAGATCTTTCCTTGACTCAGGCTACCTATCATGACGGTATATGAGTACGAGGCCCGCTATGGGGATACCCTGGAGGGGCTCGCACAAGGAACACGGAGGGTGCCCAACAGGCCGCCATCTAGAGACCCTACACGGCCCCGTAAAGAAGAGGACTACGTACTATTAGACACATCTCAGTAGTGCGCTGTTCTGCCCGTGGTATAATTTATTCCAGTTGTGCGAGTGTGCTGCACGTGATTTCGGTATTCGTTTCTCGTTAGCGAGGGTTTAACAAGCACTAAATAACTACGTACACTGTTAAACGGGTGTTTGCTGCGTGTAAAAATGTAATTAAATTGTACATACGTGCCTCATATGTAGGGTGTGGTTTCTTATTATTTCCCTGTTGTTGTGACCGTAAGAGATGTGTATTGAGAACAAGATGTTGGGGCAATCTTTAACTCTTGCAGCGGAAAATTACGGGAAAACGGATTCTAAAGGGTTTATTACATAGATTATCGATTATTATTGTTAATGATACCTCTGTTCACGCCAAGCGATTACACTCATTTCTACAAATAACCCATTTATCCCAAGAACATCGTCTTCTCATGCCAAGGACAGGTTTTTTGTTCTGAAGAATGGTAAGAGGGAAGCCGCCATGAAGTATGAGGAATACAGATGTTTAACTGTAAAAAAACATTGTAATTGTTTTATGCTACTATAATCCCTTTCTATTGCAAGAAGTGCGTACCACGTTTATTTCACGAGTCCTGGCCTTACGTGTGAGTGAGAGGGTGCGAGCCACACGACCTTTCAATGATTGAAGTCGAACTGGCAAGTCTTCAGCGAGTCTTAACCATCTTTCAGTTTCACGCGTCCCCACAGCCCTGGATCTTCCAACTGGAAGCCAACTTGTGGCCTACTACACAGCCATCACACGCGCACCTGATAAACCACAGAAGCTCGGGCAACGAAACTAACACTCGCAGAATGCGAGGAGTTTTTGCTATATCGGGGGCAAGTTTTATCGCCTACAGGGACCGCACATGGGGGAGGGGTGAGAGGGCTTTAGCTCCCCCTTTTAATATAATAAAAAACATAGGCACGCAAGGCGTGCAAGAGTTATTTTTTTGTGTGAAATGTTGGAGATAGAAGCATTCATGGTACAGTAATGATTTGGTTGATTTGACAAGTTTTTTCGGTTGCGATGTTACATCGGTCATGGTAAGATAGCTAAATAGTAAGCCATAAAATGTTTGAATGAACAAACTACAGTAATCTGACACGTCTCCAGATTAATGTACATACCATCTTATTTTCTAACAGGCAATTGGATTCGTTCTTTGATACAACCCGCACTGTGATTGGTGTGACACGCGCACAT